TTCTTGAAAATTTAGATATGTTCGATTTCTGCTAATTACTGAATGAGAATAGGTTTGATGGCACCTTTAAAAAATTGACCATAGGACATAAAGTCTCATAAACAAATTCAGAAAAACACAAGTAATAATTACATCCTTTACTAGCCACAATGCAATAATAATCAATAAAGGGAACTTGAAGAAAGAATTTAAACTAAAATTGAGACTAAATAATATAATCCTAAAGAATGTGTGGGTCAAAGAACCAATCAGGGACAATAAGTAATTTTATAAAAGAAAATGAAAACAATAAGATAACATACTAAACTTTTGGGATGTAGCCAAAATAGTCATTAAGGGGAAATTTATCCCTCCAACCACTTTCATCAGTAAAAGAGAGAAAGAATAAATCAATGAATTGAGCATACAAACAACTTTAAAAAGAAAAACCTAGAAAAGCAACAAATGAAAAAACCCTCAAATAAACACAAAAACATAAATTCTGAAAATCAAAGACATAAAATTGAAATGAAAAATCATTGAACTGATAAATAAAACTATCTTTTTTTTTTACAAAAACTAACAAAATAGATAAACTGTTGGATAATTTGTTTTTTTAAAAGTTAGGAGAAACCAAATTACCAAAATAAAAAAAAAATAAAAAAGGAAAATTCCTAAAATATTAAGAGGAAATGAAAGAAATTATTTTAAAAACTATTTTGTCCAATTGTAGGTCAATGAAAATGACAACTGGATGAAATAAAGTGAATATTTATCAAAATATTTTAAAATCTGGATCAGCAAAATGAGAAATCAAAAATTAAATAAGCCACTATCAGTCAAATAAAAGTAAAAGCAAATGAACAACCCACAAATTAATTCTCAAAGGAAAAATTCCACAACAGATGGATTTACAAGCAAATTCTTTCAAACATTCAAAGAACAATCAACTCCAACTTACATAAATTATATGCAAAATTTTTTGAAAAGACAACTTGCCAAACTTCTCTGAGGCAAATCTGGTTCTGATAACCAAACCAAAGAGAATTAAGCCAGAAAAAGAAATCTCTCTCTCTCTCTCTCTCTCTCTCTCTCTCTCTCTCTCTGTCTCTCTCTTTCTCCATATATGCACATATATATGGAGAGCTTTGCAAAATTTAAAGCATATAAATAATAAATAAATAATAGCTATTATAATTATTACCCACGTAACAACTACCTTAAATTTACACATTTCTACTATGTAGGCACAACTCTACTAGGAATGATACCACAGGCTTTACCCCTAATGTTTTGGTGGGAGTCATGTCTACCTCTCGTTTTTTTGGAGTCTCAGAATTATCGAGAGGATACAAACACTCGCAATTACTATATATCTCAGCTGAGTGAAAGACAAAAGCAAGTATGCCAACAATCTATGATTTTTGCTCAGAAGGCCTCTGATGGAAATAAATGACGGTATGATGCATGCATTCATTGTGACGACCTTCAACGAGAGAGAGTTCCACTGGGAAACCTTGATATTCAAGGGAAACACAAATGAGCAGATTAATGGAAAACTACTCTGTAACAAGTTGTTGAGAAACTTGGACTGGTATCTTACAAGAGACTGACAAGGGCCTTGTAAAGGCAATTCACTTAAACCATTTATTGTTGATAGGACAGTTAGACTTCCTGATGGGTAGGTGGAGAAAAGCAGCAGACACTTACTTCAGTGGGATCTAAAGAAAAGATGCTACCCACCAGCTGTACAAAGATTTCTAGTGAAGAAGACACTCTGCTGTAACTTAATGACCTTGCTTTGGATTGAAGGGAGAGATAAAGGGAGAGGACTGAACTCAGAGGCAACCCTTTCATTCGAATCAGGACTTGCTTCTCTATTTCAGGGTCCTAGCTACCACCCCTAGACCTCAACAGTCTGACTAAATGACCTATACATCTCTCTAAGACTCTAAGTTTCAAAGCGGATGCTGATCTGGTTTGATAAGGGAAGTTGCTTACTCCTGGGAAAATCTATATTAATGAAAATCATAGGACTAGTAAAAAAAATTAATATAATAGACTATTGTTGTGCATTAAGAAATGGCAAATATGAGGAATGCAGAGAAATGTGGGGAAAGTTGTATAAATTAATGAAGAATAAAAGAAATAGAACCAAAAGAATTATATAGTGAATACAATACTGTAAATTGAAAGATGACTAAATGGAGGTCACATTCTGAGTAACTGAAAAACCAATAATGGTCCCAGAGGATAAATAATGAAATCTATCTACCTCTTCTCAGAAGAGAGGCTAAGAATGTTGCTTACACTGTCAAACAGAATCACTCTGGTTTGTTTGCTTGATTTCTTTTTTTGCATAATTGATTTCATTTGCTACAAGGGAAAGTTCAATTGGGGTGAGAGAAAGATATTTATAAAAATTACTGTGAACAAAAGATAGCATTAAAATTTTATTTTAGGACTCAGCAAAGAGCTGAAGGATTAGTTCCATTAGTGCCTTTAAGAACCTAGGTATATGTTATGTTCCAAGTAAATGGCTGCCCTAAGGAATGATGAAAGGGCAAATATAGTTCCCAGCTCACAGAAAGAGAAAGTGAGTTTTAGAAGATATGGGAGGGACAGCTAGGTGGTGCAGTGGATAGAGCACCAGCCCTGGAATCAGGAGGACCAGAGTTCAAATCTGGCCTCAGACACTTGACCCTTATTAGCTGGGTGACCCTGGGCAAGTCACTTAACCCCATTGCCTAACCTAGGAATTGTGGAGGGGAGTAGGACTAGCAGCCCCAAACTTATATAGCTAGGGACAAGCGGGGAGTCCCCTACTCAGCAGAAGTGGGCCAATCGTGTACTTTCATGTTTTCAACATGGAGTTCCTAAACAAATGGCATAACAATGGCCCCAAAGGACTGAGAGGTGGGAATAGGAGGAGCCTCAAAAAAAGTAACAAATAAATTGTGTTTGGCCAATGGTAGTGTAAATACCCCTGACCAAGAACAATGAGTCTTCCAGGAAAAGGAAACAGCACCAAAGCAGTATGCAAATGGAATCAGCTTCCCAATACCATCTGTTATGGATGTTCCCATGGTCCACTGGTCAATGTTCCATATATTTAATGAAAGTTCAGCTCTTTCCTTCATCTATTACTATAAGTACTTCCAGGTGGAGAGGGCATCTGAGTTTTAATGGTGCCAAGGCCCAAAGGGGCTTATCAGCAGCTTTGTGCCATTCATGTCTCTTGCAGCACACATGTAAAAACTAGAAAGAAATAGGAGAAAGGGACTCAGTTGCTCAACTATAAGAGGCTGACAGTATGATTATGTTTGTAGGGAGGTTCTGACTTAGATACATTCAGTCATCATTCCACAGGTGGTAGCTTTGTCCCATTGGCTATTCAATTAAGAACATGCAGCAAATGTCCATATGCGTGGTTCCTTTTATTCAGGGCAGGATTAATATGGCATTGACAAATTGGAGCATGTCCTGTGAAGCATGACCAGAACAGTATAGAAGTTTAAAGCTATGCTAGATGGAGGACTGGTTAAAGGACTTGAGAATATTTAGCCTGGAAAGGAGATTTGGGGAGGGGAGAGAAGGTGGCAGAGATACATCCTTCATGTATTTGAAAGGTTATCATGTATAAGTAAGAACAGACAATTTGTTTGGCATAAAAGGGCATAAATAGGAAAAATGACTGAAAGTTACAGAAGCAGTACACGGATGAACACAAGTTTAAAACGTCCTAAGATAATTTTGTTGTTCAGTTGTGTCTGACCCTTGGTGACCCCATTTGGTGTTTTTTTGTTTGTTTGTTTTTTGGCAAAGATACTGGAATAATTTGCTATTTCCTTCTCTGGCTCACTTTACAGAGAGGAAACTGAGGCAAACAGGATTAAGTGATTGGCTCTGGCAGATTCCCCACCCCTGGCTCAGGGTTACATAGCTAATAAGTATCTGAGGCCAGATTTGAACTCAGAAAGAGGAGTCTTTCTGCCTCCAGGCTCAAGGCTATACTGCACCACCCAGCCACCGCCTAAATAATTAGAGCTGTATAAAAATGGCACAACTTCCACATGAACGGGAAAAGCACCACTTCTGGAATTAGAAAGCCTAGGTTCAAATCCTGCCTTTGTCCATTGACTGCCTATGTGACCTTGGGCAAATTATTAAAATGTCTCTGGGTTTTAATTTCCTGACCTATAAAAAGGGATGGAGTGGTTGGGTGGAATTTTGACCAAATTGTCCCTAAAACAGATCTAAATCTATGACCACTTCTCAGGGATGTAGTGAATAGACATTCCTTGTGTTTAAAGACTTTATATTTTTTCTATCAATATTTGGGTACTTGCTCTCTCTCTCTCTCTCTCTCTCTCTCTCTCTCTCTCTCTCTCTCTCTCTCTTTCTCTCTCATAGGATTTGTCTCATTCTTTGTCTTTGTGTTCCGGGTGTCTAGTACAGAGCCTGGTACATAGTAGGCATTTGCTTGTTGACTGATTCCTGCTTCAGGCAGGGATTGGACTGGGTAACCTGTGACGTCCTTTTAAACTCTAAGCTCCTGTGTGCTTAGTCTTCCTGTGGACAGGAGTCAGGCACTGAGTCAGAGTAGGTCAAAATGGAAAGGGGGCTGTGATGCTGTCTAGCCCCAGGCTGTTGGCCTCCCCTTACGCATAAGAGTGTCTCTCTGCTTTTCCTCTCCCGATTAGAGATTAGTTACCAAGCAACAGACTCTTCAGGCTCTGGAAGAGAAACTGGATGGAAATCTGGACTCTAACTCGGCTGTTTTGCTCAATCCTTGTATGTACACAGTGTCTTAGACCAAGGAGGTATTCAGTGAATGTTTTTTATTTTTTAATTTGAATTGACAGCACAGAAAGCAAACAATTCAACCCATGAATGAAGGGGGCACTGGGATGGGAAGGGGGTGGGAAGAGGGGGATTTATTAAATGCCCATGTATCTCTTGATAGGTAGATTTACCACCTCTGCCCCCCACTAACCCCTTTGCAGTTGTTTACTTGTATTTTAGAACAAATTGTTCCAGAAAATACTCCTGGATCTGGAGGACACAAACAAAATATTCACTTAAAGATTTTTTATTCATTGAAAAATCACCTAGGAGTTTGCCCTGCAGCAAATGCGGCAGAGGTTAGCACCGTGTGTAGGACAATCAGGAAGCACATTGGTACTCTTTGAGAACGAAGGATGAAAACAGATCTAGAACAAGGGAGGAAACAAGCATTTATTAAGCACCTACTGTGTGCCAGGCACTGTGCTAAGCACTTTCCAAATATTCTCTCATTGATCTTCCCACAACAACCCTGAGAATGAGGTGCTGTTATTATCCCATCGTTATAGTTGAGGAAACTAAGGCAAACAGAGGTTGAGTGACTTGCCCAAGGTCACACAGCTAAGCATCTGAGGCCACATTTGAATTCAGATCTTTTTGAATCTTGGCCCAGCATTCTATCCACTGTACCATCTAGCTATCTCTAGAGATGGAAGGGACACTAGAAACCCAACTAATATAACCTCTTGATTTTAAAGAAGAGGAAACTGAAGTTTAGGAAGCTTAAATAGCTTGTTTAAAGTCACAAAGACAGTAATCAACAGAGAGGCAGGATTTGAACCTAGGTCCCCTGGCTCCAAAGGCAAGAGTTCTTCCCATTGCACCGGGCTGCCTCCAGAGAAATGGGCTCCAGGTTGTTCTGCCCACGTTGAATGGATGAATGAACACATGAAAAGCATTCATCAAACACTAACCATTTTCCAGATGTTGGGTACTGAGGAAACAAAATTTTCAGAGTTATTGCAATCTTACCAGAGACAATGATAAAGTCAGAAGATCAGAAGGGTGGGAAACTTTCTTAGTTCTCATTCCACTATCTGATTTGTCTTTCTAAGTTTTTTTTTAATCCCTATCCCCATCAATTAAGTATGTTAATGTCTCCCAGTGTTTCATATCTTGGGCCTTCTGCATTTTCTTTCTTGGAGATTTTATCAGTTCCCACAGCTTAAGATATCACTTCTACACATATGGCTTCCAAATTTATATATGCAACCCTATTTCCTTCCTGAACCTTACTCTTATCTTGCTAACTCCCTGATGGACAACTCCACCTGGATGGCATCTGAAATATCACTTGTCCAAAATGGAAATCATCACCTCTTCCCCTAAACCTGTCCTTCCTTGAACCTTCCCTGTTTTCATTGAGGGATCCATGATTCTCCCAACCAACTAGGTATGAGGTCTGAAACCTTGTACTCATTTTTAACTCTTTGCCTTCCTTCCATTAGAGTTTCCAAGTCTTAACAACTCTGTCTCTACAATATCTCTCATGTACTTGCACACTGAACACCTTGGATTTTACCCTTGTGATTTCTTGGATTGTTAAGGCACCTAAATCAACAGGAAATGCAAGATTGGGATGGCCTGTGGGTTTTTAACATAATGATGCCTTAAGAGGGACATTTAAATAAGTCAGTGTTTGGGGGCAGAGAGAAAGCTAAGGATGCTGGAAATATCGGATGGCAATTTTAAAAAAAAGGTAAAAATGGTTCAGCAGCAAGCTCTGAGACTAGACTCCCAGGAAGACATAGAGACAGCCCTAAGGAAGATGCTGAGGAGACAGCAAATGAATGTGGGACCTTTCATGATCATCTCATGAAGTTATGGAGCAAAAGGTGGGCTGTCTAACAGTTTGAGGGGCCATCACTCCCAGAGCGTTATAAAATGAGGTCAAGTATCTCATGAAGTAATGTTTCTTATTACTTTCAGATTTACAATGAAATTAATTCCTTCAACTTTTTGCTTAAGAAGAACCTATGAGCCATCTTTCTATTTAATGATAACTTCCTTTTGTATTAAGATTTTGTTTATCATGATGTAACATTTGTTTCCCTAGGTTCTCCCACAGGGACTATAGAAGCAGTTAAAATAGCTTTAAAAGTCAAGTAGAATGTTGCAGAAATGAAGTTTTATCTGTCAGTTTGGAGAAACCATTCACAGTGATGTCTTGAGAGATGAAGACTCCTTTCCTGTTGTAGCTGGAGAGATTCTGGAAAAAACAGATAAAGAAGATGGAGCAAACTTTCCTGATGAAAGTATTGTGACCTTTATCTTGGAAAGAGGATGAAGAGGATTCTTAAAAAGACTTTATTTGGTATCCTGAATGAACAAAATGGTATGGGACTATGATCCCACTTCTGTGTTCTTAGATGTCACATATCTGCACTTACAGTGAAGGTTTGAGGTGACTCTGGTTATAATCTTTCTCACAGCTAAAATATTTTAAATGCTTATTGTTGATTATTAATATATATTATAGTTAATACCTTTGATGGTTATTTAAACTCAGAAGAATAGGTCTTTTGATATGTAGAGATATATGAGCAATTGCTTATGGGAGAAAAGGTCTCTCTCTGGTTTATTAAATAAATAACATTTAATGAAATGGGGTGAGCACTCCAAACTTGGTTGATTAATGAAAGAGATATTGCAATTTGGCCATTAATGAGGAAATATTCAAACATACCCTTGTATTACCATAGAAACCAGAAACTTATGGGAATAAATCAAGCAACAAGCTGAGTGACCTGCAAGTGAGATGAGTAACCTATATAACTCTGTCAGACATAGAGAATTCTCATTTTAACTCTGCTATAATGAGAATAGCAATATTGATGTCGGTCAGTTCTTCCAATACCACATCGATTCAATGGCATTTGTCTTTGGACAAAGATCTCACATTTGGACAAACATCTCTGAAGTTAATTAGATTCGTCAGACTATAGACTCAGTCTATTGTTGGCTCTTTACTTGAAGCCTTCAAACACTGTACAATCAGCCAAAACTTATGATCCATTGGCATGGTCAACCATGTTAAGAACAGCAGATGGGTAAAGTAGTTCTTTTGGTTTTTTGTTTGTTTGTTTTGTCAATGGGGGTTAAGTGACCTGCCCAGGTTCACACAGCTAGTAAGTGTTATGTGTCTGAGGCCAAATTTGAACTCAGGTCCTCCTGAATCCAGGGCTGGTGCTCTATCCGCTGTGCCACCTAGCTGCCCCCTGGGTCAAGTAGTTCTATAACACACGGTCACCTCCATAGCATGACAAGGCAATAACGTAGACTCTGGATTCTGCTTTTTCATCCATTCTATAGCCCCCTTTTAAAAGCAGAAAAGTCTAAGCTATTTATGACTATGAGATAATATTAGTAAAGCACTTTGCAAATAAAGTGTTATATAAGTGCTATTATTATTGTCAAATTTGGCTTTCCCATTCTGTGTTAAATGATTTCAATTCATTGGAAGAAAATAAAAGTTTTTATCATTATTCTATTTGTTATTAACCTAAACTTAACTAGACCACTCTAAACAAAATTTCCATGTTTTATATTACTAACTGTATAGATTTCTTTAGCCTTGGATTTCTCCTTTATTAAAGAAGGAACTTTGCTTTGGGATTACCCTCTCCCTTTCCACTTTCACCACTGTTTACTTTGTTTGGTTTATAGACTCGACAATTGTAATAAATTCTTAATTGGTCTCTGTAACTTGTCTATCCTTTTTTTCAATCCATATTCCATGCAGCTGTCAAAATGATATTTTTAAAGCATAAGTCTAAAGCCATTTTACTCCTCTATTCAATAATCTCCAGTGGCTTCCTATTAACTCCAAGAACAAATCTAAAATTATTTTGTTTGCTATCTAAAGCCCTTCACAACCTGGCACTAACCTACTCTCCAGGTTTACTCCACATGCCCTTCATACATTCTATGTTCTAGTGAAACTGGGTCTCTTGCTGTTCTTCACATATAACATTTTGCCCCCTGTCTTTGTGCCTTTGGCCAAATGCTCTCCCATGCCTGAAATGTTCTTCCTCTTCTTTTTTGTCTTTTAGAATTTAGTTTCCTTCAAAGTGCATGTCAAATACTACGTCCTACATGATGCCTTTCCTGATTATCCAGGCCCTAGTACCACCACCACTTCAAATTATGTTTCATTTACTTTTTTAATATGATGGGAGATTGGCCAAGCCCAGTCCCTATAAGCATGCACATTAGGCTTGCTTGGTTGATTACAGTCCCCATCTAAGTTTCAGAACATGTACAACCACAATTATTTTACAGTCTTCTAACTTCATTGTAAAGAAATGAACTTTGATGGCTGCTGAGCCAGAACTAGGAATGCATTCAACAGTCACTAATTGACCAAAGAATTTAGACCTCTGTTCTTTACCTCATTACACTTGTTCTTTATTCTTCCTAAGTAAAGGACTGTTAGACTAGGCTGTGATCTTACAAACTTCAGAAAAGGTCAGGGCAGTGAACCACCAGAAGTCCAGGACTTTGAATCTATAACAGATTATGCATACAATTGAGCCTGGTGATAAGTGACATCCTGTGACCAGGTCAACTCAGTTTGGAAGTGGATTAAAGGCAACCAAGAGGGAGTGATAGTGATTCATCTGTCAGCCACATCATATTTGGAATTGAACTTGGTGGCATGAATGCCATAAAGATCTCTAAGTCTGAACCTACTCTCCCCAAGGAACAAGGCGATGTAGGGTAAGAGTGGGCCCCAGGTGTTAAGGGAAAATGTATATACTTTAATTCTTACTCTGTCTTCTAAGTAAATACCCTCTTGTAAAGCTAACATATTAATTGGTTAAATAATACTGGAGTGCTAATAATCGTTAATTGATATTAGAGATAGCATACCAGAATGAGGGCTGAAGCCAGGGGGTACCTGCAGGACTCTGAAAGTGAGAGTAGTTTTGCTCTGGGGACTCAACTCATCAGGTAGGAGTGGAAGTAGGGCTTATATAAAAGCTGCATGTATATTGAGTATTTACATACATGTGTACATGATGTTTTTCTTGCAAAGATTTTAAGCTCCATGGAGGCAGGTATTCCTTCATTTTTGTCATTGTATTCCTCTGACCTACCACCATGTCTGGCATATTGCGGGTGCTTAATAAATGCTTGCTGATTGGATAATCTCAAATAGCCTTCTGAAACATTTAGTTGTTTTGTCAATACAATAGTCTAAATTCACACATTTAGTCTTCATTTGAGAGGTGTGAGGTTTTTTTCCCAAATATTTTCATCTTTATTACTATCCCCATGTCTTCCCTCACAACTTTTCCCCAAAATGAGTCATTTCTTGTAAAAAGATGTATAAGCAAGCAAAACAAATTCACACATTGGTCATGTCTGAAAATATACCTCATTCCGTACCTACAGTTCATTGCCTCTCTGTCAATAGGCAAGAAGGATGATCCATGAGGAAGGAAAATAACCAGCTCCTATATTCTCTGTATTACACAGAGGTCCAGGAGGCATCAAATTTAGCTAACAGTCCTGCCAAGGTAACTTGTAAACATTACCATGAGCAGGCGCTGACCAGTGGGTGAGTTTCTTAACTTTCTCTTCCCACAGGAAACCAGGCTTCAGATGAAAAGCACTGACTCATCTGTGTCCCTGTTTCCTTCTGCAGAAACTGTCTGGTGATTGACTCTTCACCTCAAAGAAGTTGCAACAAAAGTAAAAGGCTTGTCTCCAAATGCATGGATATGAAGGAGCCTGTGGAAAACTCTTGAGTTCCATCTCATATCTGTTCCATTTCTAGTCCTTTCATAAACCAGAACACATTCCTTAAGTCTGTGTTCCATTATGATCTTCTGCCACCTTGATCAGAACAGGAAAGATGGAAGGAATCAACTCCTTTGCCCCAAATATGGATTTTGTTTGTTTGTTTGTTTCATAGTCTATTTAGAAACCATCCAAGGATTTCCATTGTGCAACGACTGAAGTTTTTGAAGACTCTTTCCAATATGATCTCAATGTTTCTTTCATTATTCCCCAACCAGAATCTTCAACTTTAAAATCAAACTTATACTTTTCTACCTCTACACTTTTGCTTACATCATTCTTCCCATCTGACATGTTCTATTCTCCCTTCTTCTAGATACAGATCAATTTCAATTTCCTATTTTTCTATGACATCTTCCCAACCAACTCCAGACTACAGAGATTTCTCCCTCCTTTCAAATTATTGCATTTATTTCTATGCCAGATATAGGCAATTCCTGCACAATATTTTGGATGATCTATGGGTATACATCCAAAAATTCTATCATGGCAGTAAATAGCTATAAAAATTTAGAAGGCAAAATTAAATCAATGTCCTTGAATTAGAAAACAAAATCTTCTTTAAAAGATTACTGATTTTTCGCTAAGAATTTTTTGTTTTTAAATTGTTTGTCTTTGAGACATTTTATATCATGTAGTGCTTTTTTTTGGACTCCTTTTGTGTTGTGATTTCCCTTTTACTATTACTTAATATGATGAACAGACTGGTGGTCAATGAAGATTCCATCCTTAGAGCATGTAACTGCCAATATCTCTCTCTCTGGAGGCTCACAGCATTTCTTCCTCCTCACTAGAAAAACATCAGGGACCAGAGGGAGGAAGACAGAGATTTCATCTATTTAAGGCTTTTGTATGCATGCATACACTAAACAGCCAATTAAAAGGCTTTTTGCCTTTATTCAATAAGCCAACAGGAAGCCATTTTTAAAAAAATAACTGAATATGTTCTGAATCAGAAAGGGAAGGGGCCCTTTCATCACCCATTTCCTGAAGCAGGCACCAAGCATCCACCAGATTGATAACAGGCAGAGCATACTGTATAAGCTCTAAATCAAAGGTTCTTAACTTGGAGTCCATAAATTTGTTTGTTTTAAAAAATATATATTTTGACAATTGTATTTCAATATAATTAGTTTCCTTTGTCATTTCATTTATTTTGTTTTATGCATTTAAAAGTTTTGTTGTGAGGATCTATTGGCTTCACTAGACTGCCACAGCAGCCAATGAAACAAAACAAAACAACAAAAAGATTAAGATCCCCTACACTAATGATTGGGACCTCATGGACCAGTCCTTCCCTGAACTTTGCATGAACTTATATCTTGTCACCTCAACTGGGTTGTAATTTTCCTAAGGTGAAAGAAAAATAAATAAGGTACTTTAGGTGTTAGGGTGCCAGAAACA